AGGAATGGCACCAAAATGCCTCACCGCGAAGTCTTGGTATTGCTTAGCGCATGAGGGAAGGAGCCGTGACTACCTTCACTAGGTTAGAGTGACGATGTCTTCACGCTGCTGCATTTGTGCCCGAGGGAGAGACGGCCCTCTAGTGACCATCACCTTCGTCCTCCAGCCTGGGGAGGCAGAGCCTCTGACTCACGCATTACATAATCAGGTGGTCTCAGCTCTGCATGGCGCGAGCTCCCTGGTGCTTGGGAAGCTTTTGCCTGCTGAATCATTGTCACAGGAGCAAGCTTTTCTTTGCACCTAATGCTCAGATAGTCTCCTTGCCCTCATCTGAATGTAAGCACATCATACTAATTTGTTGGAAAATTTATTTACAGTTTATATTTAATGTTTTCAAACATTCTTGACTCTCATATTTTCATTGAGTGCCAAGGCCGAGCAAGGCCCTGAGGTGGGCCTCGTGGGGCATATTCAAAGATTTAAAAAAGAGGCCCCTCCCCAATATGGATGCTTGGTCAGCTGTCCAGGCCTTGTCCCGAGACAGCAGGCTCTCTGCCGCCCAGCCTACCTCCTCCCTGGCTGCAGCAGCATGGAGCAGGGGTAGGCTGGCAACAGCAAAGAGAGGGAAGCTTCTGTCCGGGATGCGCCAGGAGCTGGGCTATCCATGGCCCTCCCTTGGAAAGGCAGTGTGGTCTCCTTTGTGCAGAGGGGGAAACTGAGGCTGAGGAACGGTCAGTGAAGCCCGAGTCCACATGCCTCAGCTCCATGCTCTTCCCTTGGCCTCCTCCCTCCAACCTTCACCAAGGAGCCCTGGACTTCGCATCGCTGGGAAGAACGTCCCAGGGACCGGGCATGAGCCAGCAGTTTACTGAGTCTAACCCCATACACCCTCTCTTAAAAAAAGACAAACGGCTGGCCCCGTGGCACAGCAATGATGTTCTGCTCAGGAGAAACCGCATCCCACACGGTGACGGTGGTTCAGATCCCCAGCCCAGTCAGCCTGAAACTGGGCGTGTGTGCAGGTGTCCAGGATCTGATGGGCTGGAGGACTGCAGGGAGGAGATGGCAGTGTGGACATGCCCACTCCTCTCTCACTCAGGTGCATGTGCACACGCTCTATCATGAATAAAGAAAAAAGAAAAACCACAAAACCATCCATTTGTAAGAAGTACAGTTCTGGAGCCTTTAATATGACAACTTCCAAAGACAATGCTGGGGCCAGTAGGTGGTGTGGTAGTCTAGGCTCTGGACCCCCACGTGGTCGATCACAGTTCGAGTTCACAGTGTGAGTCCCAGACTCAGCAGCGCTTTCTCACTTCCCTTTTCCTATGGCACTCCGGTGAGCACATGTGCCCTAGAACAAAAATAATAATAAGTAAATAAATAAATAAATAAAAGGCACTGGGGGAGGTGGGGGTGATGCGGCAGGTAATATGATGGTTAAGGGCTGGACTCCAATATGTCTGACCACGGTTCAAGTCCTGGACCTGGTGGGCTTTCTCATTTTCCATCTCTGTCTCTCTCTGGTAAAAATTTAAATAATAATAATAAATAAATAAAATTATATAGTTCTTAAAAAAAATTATAAAAGGTCGTGCTGGGCCAACTCCATGGCTTGGTGGTTAAGGCAGCTAGACCTGCATGGCCAACTGCGCAGTTTGCGTCCTGGACCCCGTGGCTTGAGAAACACCCGGTTGTTCCTGCGTGCGTGCCCAAAGTCACAAAACAGAAAGGATTGTGGCGTGACCATTCCTCACGGCAGGTGCTTTCTCCTCTCCCTCTCTCTCTGGCAAGCACACACGCCCTCTGACAAATATATTTATATAAATACATAAATAATAATAAAAGGCAACACATACTATCCATATTTATTGGAAACCTGTCTGGGCTTCACAAATAAATGATATGTTGAGAAGAAAGCCGCATGGATATAAACTGTGTTCTGCCCTGCTTAAAGTTCTTGCCTTCTGCCATTTGTGATGCTATTTGACTTTCCACTTACCAGGATTGTGAGTTCATAAACTCGTATTTGTTTATCATTCAAAAAAAGAAAGTAAGAAATGATGTTTGAATACTTATGTTGAATACCAGGTAGAGTAACCAGACCATTTGAATTAATTCTCAAAGAAAGCTGGAGATAGTACTCGCTAGTAACCGTCTTCTTTATTAATGTCATTTTTACATTGAGTTTAGTCTTTTAACATCTGTTGGGTCATCAGAAAAGTCATGACGTATTTTTCTAGGCAAAAATGCATCATGATTTTTCCAGTGACCCAATACCTTTTTGCCCTAATCCTCTTTCTACTGGAAATGATTAATGACTGCATGTTTTTATTAAAGCACCACACGGCCTTTATTTCCAGTAACAGTACCTTTGAAGAGCAAGCTAATTAATAATTTTAACTGCCTAATGTAAGCAGGAAACAGAACAGTTTCATATGTTGATACAAAGAAGACGTCCCCATTGATCTGCACGTCATTTAATTAAACCAAGCCATTCATGGAAAATAATTACCTTCAGTTATGATAAGAAGAATTTGCTGAAAACAAAATGGAAGTTACTCTGCCTTCAGTGAGGACTTCTATTAGTGCTCTTTGAGGTTAAGCGATGCTTTCATCTAAGTGGGGGCCAGCGGGGTGGGTTATTTACTGTAATTGCTGCAGAAAATGCTGCTGCGTGTGAACACTGGTTTCAGATTAATTTTCGCTTCTTTTTAGATGTTGTCATTTGTCTTCTGAGGATCTTTGAAAGTTTATGAACATTTAAACACCCCCGTGAAGGATCCCATTGTTTTTTCTTTTTTTGGAGAGGTTTTTGCGATAGGGCATGTGCGCTCGCCAGACAGACAGAGAGAGACAGAGAGACAGAAAGCGAGAAATCACCCCCCAGGGGGGATGGTCACGCCACAATCCCTTCTCCTCCATTCTCTTCTCGGGATCTTGGGCATGCACGCACACGCGCCCAGCGTGAGTTTTAAGCCACTGGGTCCGAGATGCGAACCACGGTCGACTACGTGGGAGTCCAGCGACATAGCCATTACGCTAACTGCTGGCCCCAAGGATCCCATTTTGAGAGTCTAGGTGTGTTACGGAGCTCCGGTCTGGAGAATCACAGCAGAGCCTGCCTCGCTTGCCAGATTGTAGAACCCGTAAGACGTCTGCTGGCCTTTTAGACTCCTGGTCAGTGGCCATCCCAGTGGACCGCCCCAGGCTAAGAGCCTCTTAGATAGGATTTTATTGGCATTAGTATCTTTTCTCAGGAACAGGTTTTATCAACTGAAATACGTAACTGCCTGACTCCATCTGGATAATCCTGGGAACCGACAATTACAGTGTTTCCATTACTAGACAATTTCCAGAAAGAAAGGGGTTCAAAATGTTTTGTCATTATCCTTAACAAATCAGATGAAATTTGAACCGTTGCCTCCAACAATACTGCATTGTTTTAAGAAAGAAGTGGTTCTCAGTGTGTCTTTGAGGAACAACCCAGATTGCAGTAAAGTCTCTGCAGACCTTGTCAGGGCTTTGCCCTGGGTCACGCCATTTTTTTCCACTGGGCATGTGTTTTTTTAATAAGTGTGAGTCAATAAAAGCCAGGGGTGGGACCTACTTGCCCTGACATGAGCACTGAACTCGCCGTACCACTTGAATGGACCTGAAATGTCAGCCATTTGCCAAGTGCTTGAACCCGTTCACAATCCTTCTTGCCTGCATTAGGAGAACAATGCTATTACAGGCCTCTTCTTGCCCGTCTTAGTGGTATAAGCGATATATAAACTTCCAGTGTGGTGCATACTTAGGTCATTTAAAATGTGGATTTTAGAGATCAGCAGATGACATAATGCTTACATTGCTGGATTTCCACGTGAGTCGACTGTGGTTCGAATCCCGGACCTGGCAGCTTAAAAATCTCACATGTGCATGCGTGCTCAAAAGCCCAAGAGGAGAATGGAGGAGAAGGGATTGCGGCATGGGCATCACCCCTGGCGGGGGGTGATTTCTCACTTTCTGTCTCTGGTGGGTGAACTTACCCTATAGCAAAAATCTCTCTCAAAAATTTTTTTTAAAAAGCAGATATTTAGGGGAACAGCAGTTGGCCTAATGGCTATATCATTGGACTCCCATGTAGTCGACTGTGGTTCAAGTCCCGGACCTGGTGGCTTAAACTCACGCCCAGTGCATGTGCATGCGTGCCCAAGATCCTGAGAGGAGAATGGAGGAGAAGGGATTGCGGTGTGGCCATCCCCCCCGGGGAGCGATTTCTCTCTTTCTGTCTGTCTCTCTCTCTCTCTGTGTCTTCCTGGCGAGCGCGCGCACCCTATACCAAAAACCTCTCCCAATAAAAAGGAAAAAAAAAAAAGAAAAAAGAAAAGTAGATGTTTATGTTGTCATTTATAGATGTGTGTTTTTGGAGGAAGAAAACAACAAAGCTTGTTTTTTCACTATTTCTCCAGGACTCTGGATCGATTTGGAAATGTCCTACAATGGGTCCTTTCTGATGACTCTCGAGACCAAAATGAATTTGACCAAACTAGGTAAAGAGCCTCTTGTTGAAGCCCTGAAGGTTGGAGAAATTGGCAAAGAAGGGTAAGAGGCTATATATGAATTTCCTAATCCAGTTTGGGGACAGCCTCTCCCTGCAGCCCTTGAGCAGCAGGTTGGATGTGTAGCAGCCAGCCCCCATGTGAGCAGAGTCCCTGTGAGTGGGTCAGGACGGAGTGCTTCAGCATCTGGTTTCAGGTTCCAGCCCCGCCTCCCACTCCCCTGTGACAGCACCTCTGACCTCAGTGCTGCCGGGCATGTGGTGTCCGTTACCCAGAAAGCCTCACTGACCGTGGCAGGCAGGCAGACCCACCTGAGCAGTAAGATGGTCCGCACATAGAATCTTCATTAAACTTCCTTCAACTCGCAGCCACCAGCAGTGGTGTGCCAAGCAGGCTGCGGTCCCTCGGGGAATCTCTCTGCTTTAATCACAAAGTCAGAATTATTTATAATTAGACGATTGATTTTTGTAGCTGAGAGGGTGCTCTTAAAGTGTTTTGAGAAACATTTTCCTAAATAATACAGTATCGATTTGCTTTAGTAAATTCCTCTTTGTAGATAGTACATCTTCCACCCAGAGTTTGCCTGATTATTAATAAATATCCCCAAGTTGTGAAATAATTAATGAAGCTTGATCTGTAAGTACCTAGAATGGATAAGCTAGAACTTGTACATTCCCACACCTTTGACATGACTGCTGTCACAACGAACTCACAGTATGTTACTGTTTTTACCAAATGAAAAATGCAGGCTAGCATCTGCTTCTCACACTCTAACCCCTTGGCGTGGGATCAGCAGTCCAAAGACAGGAAAATGCTAGAGGGAGCTGCCTTCTCAGGGTCTAAATATAAGACACAAGCTCTTAGGTTTCGCTTAGTTACAGTTTTGCCACCCTTGCGGTCATGGCAGATTGGGGGATTGGGGTTTAATTTGTGAGTATTCTTTTGTTTGGATTATTCTGATTTGTCCAAGTTACTTAATGAAATGTTCCTATTTTAAAAATTGGAGAATCTGAACACAATCTAACCTGTATCTGTGCTATTTTCCTTCCATTTTCCTGCTATTGGTTAAATTGTGTTTGGATGCGGCAATCTGTGGATTTGTATTTTCTGGTGAGTGGTATTTATCAACTCTCCATGTAGCATTTCATTCCGTGTAAGTGCTGAGTCTTGTCTGGTCCTGTGTAAAGCCACCAGGAAGCCTGTCTTTTCATCCTGTTCCGAGACACAAAGGCCTAGGCCTGAGAGGACTGAAACCAGGGTGGTGAGGGAAAGCCTTGCAGGCACCTGCAGTTTGGGTGGCTGGGGTCCTGACCTAGTCTTCCGTTCAGACTCAGCTTCTGGTCCTGCAGCCCCCGCCCCTTTCGCACACGTGGCCGACCACCATCAGCTCAGCCTGATGACAACAGTACTGCAGAACCAGCTGCCAATAAAGTGAAGCCCCTTAGGCCCAAGTCTTGGGCATGAGGTCTAAATAGGAGCATGGCAGAGCAAGCTCCAGTCAGAAGCCCTTGTGCGAGGAGCCCTTTCTAGAAGTAGCCTGTGCTGCACGCAGGTGCAGGGCCCCATTTCAGGGGAGGCTGGGCCTCAGGCGTGGCCACAGGTCCAGGTCCCTAAGGTTCTCATCACGTAGGTATCCCACAGCCATTGCTATTCATGCGGCCCTTTTGACACAATTTCGGGTTCTTAAACTGACTGGTTAGAAAACACATCGGGAACCAGCAGTTGGCATAATGGCTATGTTGCTAGACTCCTATGTAGTTGACCGCAGTTCGAGTTCCGGACCCGGTGGCTTAAACTCACACCGGGCATGTGTGCGTGTGTGCCCAAAATCCCGAGAGAATGGAGGAGAAGGGATTGCGGCGTGGCCATCCCCGCTGGGGGGTGATTTCTCGCTTTCTGTCTCTCTGTCTCTGTCTTTCTGGTGAGCGCATGCACCCTATAGCAAAAAAATAATAATAATAAAGAAAAGAAGACATATTTCGGACTAAGCCTTGCTTCTCCAGAGTGGGCAGGAAAAAGATGCTTTGTTTTAGGAATGCGATGGTACTCCATTTAATTTTTTTGTTGTTTCTTCTTTCATGAGAGACATACAGACAGAGAAACACAAGCACGCTCAGTAGGGTTTCCCAGTGTGATCCCCTGTTGGCCTTCCAGGCAGCCAGGGGCATGGACACACACACCCGCCCAGTGTGCTACAGCTGCACCACCATGGCCAGGCTTGTGTTTAATTTTTAACATATTTGTAAAATACCATTTTTTCCGAAAGTCTGGTAAAAAATGTTTTGCCTTGGAACCAGCAGATGGTGTAGCGGTTACATCACTGGATGCCTGTATGGCTGACCATGATTCAAGTCTTGGACCTGGTAGCTTCAGAATCATGTCAGATACATGTGCGTGTGTGCCCAAGATCCCAGGAGGAGAATGGAGGAGAAGGGATTGCGGCGTGGCCATCCCCCCTGGGGGTGATTTCTCGCCTTCCCTCTCACAGTGTGTGTCTACCTATCTCTCCTAGCAAGCGCACATGCCCTAGGGCAAACAAAAAAAATCTTTAAAAAAATGTTTCCCCTCTTCCTACAAGAGTGTTAAATCATATATCGACGTGCAATTGGCTGTTATTTTAATTTTAACAGTGAGGAAGCATACAATCTAACAGCACTTCAGTAAGGAGGAAAAGGCCTGGGAAAATGGACTCTTAACTCTTTTTGCATTAAGAACCCCTTGGGGAATCTGAGAACTCTGGATTCTTCTTCCAGAAAACATCTCCACCTGTATCATTGGGCTCACCATTTCTGGAAAAGGCCGTCCATGATGAAGAACCTAACCCCAGAAGTGATTCTATCAGTAGAATACGCTTCTTCACCCCCTAAGTCACAAGCATATGGAGTCGCCGTGGGGCCTAGGTGGCAGAGAGAGAGGAGTAAGCCTACAGAGTAGCTGTAATTAGGCTTGTGGTCTCTGGTCCTGACATCTTTCCTGCTGTTAGACCTCCACAGTAGCCTCTTCCTCCAGGCTGCCTGTCCAGGACCTCACGCCATGCAGGCTGCATGCTCCGCAACGTCCTGCTCTGGCTGGACCTCTTCTTCCTCTCACTCAAGAGTGCAAATGGTTGTGCTCTTGGGGAGCCTGAGGAGATGCCACTCAGCCTGTCTGGCATCCTTTCTGATGGGAAATGTGTTTACTTGCTGGAACCTAGCTCCTGAGAGGGGGATGGAGAAATTGGAATCCGCGTTGCTTTATTCTGGTGAGGTGCTTTTCCTTGGAAATGTGTGTCCACTGTGTATTTCCCTTAGTCTGTCCTTCCCCCAGTAGTCCTCTTATCAGGTACTCTAGTTGACATGACTTTGGGTGGGGCTGGTAAGGTACTCAGAACAGAATCCAAGCAGTGAGTGACCAGCAAATGGCATTGATTATGTCGCTAGACTCCCATGTAGTCAACCACAGCTTAAACTCACGCTGGGCATGTGTGCACGCATGCCCAAACTCCCTAGAGAAGCATAGAGAAGGGACTGCAGTGCAGCCACCCCCCCAAGGGCTGATTTCTCGCTTTCTGTCTCCCCAGCAAGTGCACGTGCTCTATAGTAAAAATCCCTTTCTTAAAAAAAGAGTTCAAGTAGTGAGCTGAGCCATCTTAGCTGTAGGAATTGACCTAAGTGGGACCAAAATGAGTTGGAAAGGGAAACATCCAGTGTGCCAGGTGGTCTTACGTGACCCATGGCATTGGAGCACAGCCTGGAAGCCACCTGCCTGTTTGTGCTTCACCACTACAGCCTGGGCCCAGTGTTCCCAGCCCTGTAGGGTGACCCCTGTGACTTCCATATTAGGCCACCATTCCACAGTGTACCCCAAATGACTACCACCTCTGCCCCCCAGGATCCGGATGTTCTGGAGCCAAGTGCTTACAGTTTACACCGTGACTGGGTCTTTTTTTTTTTTTTGAGAGGTTTTTGCTATAGGGCGTGTGCACTCGCCAGACAGACAGAGACAGACAGAAAGCGAGAAATCACCCCCCAGGGGGGGATGGCCACGCCGCCACAATCTCTTCTCCTCCAGTCTCCTCTTGGGATCTTGGGTATGCACGCACATGTGCCCGGCATGAGTTTCAAGCCACCGGGTCCGGGACGCGAACCGCGGTCGACTACGTGGGAGTCCAGCGACATAGCCATTACGCTAACTGCTGGTCCCAATGACTGGGTCTTATCCTTGGGTGTATGCACATGCCTGTCTATGGCAGATGAATGGGACTCATTTCTCTTCCATGAAACAGAACGAGTGCATTCTCGGGAGCCTGTTCCCCATCAAAGCAAACACCTCACAGGGCTACTTTATCTAATCATGCATTCTTCACTTAAAGCATTTATTGGAGCTTTTAAGGAATTGCATATGGATTCAGTTGTGACCTTTTTTAACTATCCTAAGTGACAGCAAATTATCCTACTTCGTAGATGGTTTAGATCTTTGAGAAGCTGCTAAAAGTCATTAGAAACTATGGTGACCAAGAAATAAAATATTTGGTCTAAGACACAGCACCGTGATAAAAGAATTTACTTTTTCTTATATGCCTGACTCCAAGCACATTTCCCCGAAGGTTTTTTTAACGAGGGGCAGCATAACTGGAATAAGCCTGTTAAGGTGGCTCTTTGAGAGTGTAGCACACTCATTGTGTTGGCTTAGAACAGCCAGGTTCACTGCGTTCTGCACATCTCTGAGGACGTGCAGTGTCTTTCCCCAGACTTCATATGCTTGAGGTCACAAAATGCATGTTCAGGTATAAAACTGAGTATCAAGCAGACATTTAGCTACACATTTAATTAGTAATTATTGAGTCCCACCTAACAGCTCCCAGTGCACAGCAGAGGGACTACTCGGCCAAATTCAGAATTTCATGTCATCCGATCTGCTTTAACTGATACAGCACTATCTAAATTATTCACTTCAAGCCACAAAATTTGTCCTGTTCCCTGTCCTGCAGAGGATTAATTCAGGAACCTGAGAGCTTACCGCAGTGCTCAGCCATTGGCATCTTCTGTCCAGAGTCAAGCTGCCAGATGAGACATGCCAGTGGGGACACAGGGGCCCAGCAGGTCTCGTCGTTGTCCCACAATGAGGCAGCCTCTCGTTCTGGGTGGATGAGGAGCCGACCCTACTGCCTGTGCATGGAGTCGGCTTGCATCCTTGGCAGCATGAGGCCTGAGGCCAGAGAACGCCACCTTTTGCTTTACTGATGGGGAAGTAGAATGTGTTTCTGAAATGGTTGTGTCTTCTCTGGAGTTTTGTCTCCGACTTTCCTCATTCCAAGACCCAGTTCAGCCTTTCTGGGGAGTCATATTTTGCTCTGCACATTTTAAATGAATGCTCTCTGGGAGGGCTACCTAACCACAGAATGCTGAAACCGCTTTGTGACCAGCGAAGGCACAGAAGCACTCCCTGATCTAGCCGGGCCTCCGATGGGAGGAGGAAGAGTCGGTTAGGTGCTGTCCTCTGGCCATACTGGAGGCTTTTGTTTTTGCAGAGGGAGTTTCCCTTTAACGTTCGAGTTCAGCCTGTTGGCTGCAGTGCCAGCTCTAATGTTTCAGAGCCCGCACTGAGGATGATCTGCGATCCTGCTAGAGGGGACACTCCAGTCCTCCTACAGCCCGGCTCCTGTTTCAGTCTGCCCTCCCAGGGCCTGCTGCTAAGGCCATTCCTGGGCCTTCAAGTTCGTGTCCACATGTGGGCTCTGCCCTTGGGTGCCCTTGGCTCCCAGGGGTCAGGAAATGACTACCCCAAGGGGCTTCTTTTGTCCCAAGAACAACCTCAGGAGAACTAAACATTGCAGCTGCACAGAGACAGTGCCTGAGCCCTGCTGTTTTCCCTCTTCCTGGAGTTTTGTGCTTGTCAAAATCATAAGGCCCAGCCTCTGCGTAGTGGCCACTTGGTTGCTTAACTGTGTTCAGAGACAGACCTGGCCCGTGTTCGTTTTATACCCGTTAGGCCGCTAAGCCTCAGAGACAGGGCCCCACTAGTTCTCTGGGAAGCAAAGTCACAGTCCAGGGAGGGAGCTGCCTTTTACCGGGCTGAAGCTTGGCCAGGAAGGTGGAGGATCACTGCTGTTGTGATCTGGAACCCCTGGCTCTTAGAAACTGGGGAGCACAATTCAGAAAGAACTAATGAGGGACACTGCTGTCTGAGAGGTCTTCATTACCTTAGTAAAAAGAATGGCCCTTAATTTGTACTTTACCCGAAAAGTTTCTGGGTTCTCGTTCCAGTTGCTTGTAGTCTTGATTGTGGCTGTGGCTTTTTCTGACCCTTGGAGGCAGGGCAAGAGAAGGGTCAGATGTGGAATCCCACTGGGATGGCGTCTTGTCAGAACTAATTTGGGGGAAACTAGCCAGACAGCATTATACCTGTGGAGCTCAGCCAGAGCCGAGGGACTTGCCTGAGCATCTCCATGACCCATGAGTGGCACTGCCGTCACCAGCCCAGGCCACTGTCCCAGCCTTGCAACCATCGCTTCTCCATGCACCCTCCTGGCTGTGCCACCCTCCTGATGAATCACTGCATTCTATGTGGACCTCATCACATGCCCCTCCTGTCCTGGCGCATGCTCAAACGCAGACTCTCTAGGCCTGGTCCTCCACAGTCCCGCGGGGCAGAGCCAAGGAGCCTCCAGGGAGCCATGCTGAGCCGAGGGCTCTTGGATCGGGGCTCCTCTTCGTCGGCGGGTGGAGAGAATGACGAGGGGTAGCAGCGGTTATGTCTTGACTGCATCTTGGTGAGCGTGTGTGCACGTGCACGTCCGTGCTCTCGTTCTACACACAGCCTGGGTGTGGCAGCTGCGGTACTGACGTCCTGTGTTCAGTTGCAGGCCCAGGGCATACTGTCTGGCTGACAGCGATGAAGAATCCTCCAGTGCCGGCTCCTCCGAGGAAGATGATGCTCCAGAGCCTACTGGGGGAGACAAGCAGCTCCTCCCGGGGGCTGAGGGGTGAGTGGGCCAGAGCCTTGGGAGTCTGGGTCAGGGCAGCAATCTGGGAGCCAGCCTTTCCCCCTCTTCCCTGTGATCGCTCTTCCTCCCTCGTGCTGAGTGACTAGTTTTTGTATTTACGCCCAGCATCTGTGGCTTGTTTAAATTCTGGGCCCCAGAGGCCAGTAGGTGGCATGGTGGTTAAGGACACTGGACTCACACATGACTGACAGTGGTTCGAGTCTCGGACCTGATGGCTTGCTTTCTCACTTTATCTCTCTCTCTCTCTGTATGTCCTTCTGTGGTCAAATTAAAATAAATAAAGTTCAATAAAATAATTCTTTAAAAAAAAATTCTGGGCCCCAAAGCGAAAAGACCTGTGTAACTTTCCTTACTTAAGAGGGTCCCAACCCAAGTGGCTTTTCCTGCCATTAGAGCAAGGGGAGGAGAAGTTGAAGGGCACGCTTTTACATGGTGGAAGCGCTGCTGCAGGTTTTCGGGAGGAGTACCTATCACCCAGCAGCCCGCCCTGGTGCCAGGTGAGAGCCTTGGTCCCTGTCGGCTGGGCTGTTTTGGTGAGCTGCTGCTTCCTGAGAGCTGAAACAATTAGATGATTTCTTTGGTGAACTTGAAAACAGGGTTCTCTCAGCTGATTTCTTGGATCAGCTTCACTGAGCTTTGTCTGGGGGCTCTCTTAGCTTGTTACTTGGACAGTAAAATGGTCAAGGTGCTTAAACAGCCTTTCCATAAGGATCTTTTAGTTATCAACAGTGAATCAAGGGGCCAGCAGGCGGCATGGTGATTAAGGGCGCTGGACTCCCCCAGAGCTGACCATGGTTCGAGTCCTGGACCTAGCAGCTTGCTTTCTCACTTTCCCCCCCACCCCATCAAAGTAAAAATATAAAATAAATTAAGTTAAATAAAATAATCCTTTAAAAAAAAAGTGAATCAAATATGGGGGCCAGCAGGTGGCATGGTAGTAAAGGTGCTGAATCCCACATGGCTGACTCTGTAGTTTGAGCCCTAGACACGGCCGCTTAAAACACACACCAGGTGGGGACCAGCAGTTAGCGTAATGGCTATGTCGCTGGACTCCCATGTAGTCGACCGCGGTTTGCATCCCAGACCCGGTGGCTTGAAACTCATGCCGGGCACGTGTGCGTGCATGCCCAAGATCCCGAGAGGAGAATGGAGAAGGGATTGCGGCGTGGCCATCTCCCCTAGGGGGTGATTTCTCGCTTTCTGTCTCTCTCTGTCTGTCTGGCGAGCACATGCGCCCTATAGCAAAAACCTCTCCGGGAAAAACAAAACAACAAAACAAAAAAACACCAGGTGTATGTGCATGCTCAAAATCCTAAGAGGAGACTGGAGGAAAAGGAATTGTGGCATGGCCACATGACCATACCTTCTAGGGGGGTAATTTCTCACTTTCCCTCTCTCTCTGTCTTTCTCCAAGTACACACACCCTACAGCAAAAACCTAATAAACAAACAAACAAACAAAAATGAATTGAACAAACCAAGATTATAAAGAAGGTGGGTGGTTCAGGAACTTTTGTAAGAAAATATCAGCCTATCCACTTTTGAAATCTTACAGACGATGAGAAGAGAATTAAAATATTTGATGAGTTGGTTTTAAAGTTTGTGCATGTTACTTAAAATCTAGCTGCTTGAGCTTCTTAATAATGATTTTTCTGGGACCAGCAGTTGGTGTAATGGTTATATCGCTGGACTCCCACGTAGTCGACTATGTTTTGAGTCCTGGACCCAGTGGCTTAAAACTCATGGTGTGGAGCCAGTAGGTGGTGTGGTGGTTAAGATGGCTGGAATCCCAAATGGCTTACTATGGTTCAAGTCCTGGACCTGGCAGCTTGCTTTCTCAATTTCTTTCTCTCTCTCTGTCTCTCTCTGGTCAAAAAAAAAAAAAAAAAAAAAAAAAAAAAGTGACAACAAATAAAATTAAATAATTCTTTAAAAAATAAAAAACAAAACTCATAACATGCCCAAGATCCCAAGAGGAGAATGGATTGTAGCATGGCCATCCCCCCTGGGGAAAGAATGATTTCTCACTTTCTATCTGTCTGTCTGTCTCTCTAGCAAGTGCACATACCCTGTAGCAAAAATCTCTCTAAAGAAAAAAAAAAAATGCTTGTTCTTTTTTT